GAGAAGGACTGGAAGTCATTCCTCCGGCCAGTAGTTTCTTTAATTTGCAATTGAAGATATCTGGACTCTGCTCCCTCTCAATTCGAGCTGCAGAATGTTGAATAGACGTATTACAGTATCTACTGGAGCTTTTTTTGCATGAATTGACAAATTTCCTTGGGTAAAATATTTTTTTGTTCCTTGTGTCATACATGTGAATATCGCAATGCCTTCTAAAGCTGTTTAAGTTCTTGAAAATGTGAGTCAACAATTTTAATATATAAATAGAGGGCACCGTGATAATTTCATTACTTTTGAAAGTGTCTCTGCATGATGTTCTATTAGATAAGTATGAAATACGTCTAATAATTGCAATACAAACACTCTTTGCAGTATGGACGCTTGACCCCACACAACGATACTATATGAAATAGCGGAGTACCGCAGTGAATCATACTAAACTTCAAACAGACATTTTCGTTGCAGTTTTTTTTTTGAGGTTAGTCTTTCAGATGAACTATATGAAATAGCGGAGTACCGCAGTGAACCATAGAAATTTATCAGATATGAAAGAAATATCGACCGAGTCGAAAGCTCTAGTAAGATCAAAGAAGATTGAGATCACAAATTCGCCAGAATCCATTTTGTTGTTGACATATTGTAAAAGGAAAGAAAACTTTTCACACATAGTCGGTGGGCATACTTGAAGGCTGGCTATAAATCGAATCGTCTGAAGGACAATTCGTTCAGGCCAGGCAGTAGTTGTTTTCTGACGGGTGTCATTCCATTAACCTACTGACTGACCTGAACTAATTGTTCCTTCAGACGATTTCATTTCGATTGAATTAAATGAGTATTGACTGAGACATCACCGTTTGATGCAGACTTATAGAAATGGTCGAAACTTTTGAAGCAACCAATAATACAAAAGAGGAAAGTTCAACACACACTTTCTTTTATTCAAATTTAAAGATAGGCCGCGCTCAATGAAATACCCTTCATAACGACAACGAAATGGTAACGATCTCAGCCACCTAGATGACTGATGGGTTTTAAATGAGGAACAAGTAGCTTTTAATACGTTCACCTCCGTCTCCAACCATAACTGATTCCAAGAATAAACACCATTCATCTAGACAAATTCATTCGCTCTGTATATCGCGGAAAATTAATGATCTCCTAGTTTGGAAATAATAACGCATAAACCAGTATGTGTAGGATGACAAATAAAGCTATAAATTTATAGCGCTACGTCTCATGTAATATTATAGCGAGCTTTTAGCGAAATGTCACAACACCAAGGGAATCGGACAAATAGCACAATTTTGCGTGATGCATGTTCGTTATTGAGAAAATTTATTCGAGTTTACGCAGCCAGACAAAGTATCTCGTCTCACCCCGATAAATCGCTGGATTGAATTTTTTTGTTGCCTAGACGTGATAAATGACGGCTTTTATAGCTAGGACGTGTTTAATGTGTATTCATCGTAGGCATTTGCTGTTTCAGTTGTTTTTGATTCATACTTGATGAAAGCAGGTGGAGGCCAGATACTGTTGATACGGAGACGGTTCATTTCGTTCAAAAAAATTACCTCTGTAATTTTTTTTTCGAAATTGGGTAATTCGTTATCGAGAAATTGAATGTTGAACGTTTTGTTTGAGAAAAAAAAAACAGAAAATACGCTGTCGTGATCTAGCTGTCCACTCCACTGGACCCCTTCTGAACACCTCACAAAACTGAAGTCGACGATCAGGATCATCTTCGTTTAATTCCTGAACTAGCCTTATTTTGGAAGGATGAAATTTGTAGGCTTTCAAAATCCGAAAAACACTACTAGCTGATATACCAGACGCTCTAGCTACTTGTCTGATATATTATCCATTATCCATTTGTACATGTCCCAAACTCCGTTATTTGTGACAGGACGGGATACTTGTCATGTTTTCTGTTGTGAACAGAAACTGAAGTTCCAAACTTGTCCATTAACTGTTTAACGTATTGATTGCTCACGTAATGGTCTGAATGATTCGCATTATAAATTCTTGCAGCAGCTTTAGCACATTCATTATTTCGAAAATAGGTTGCAACAATTTCTATTCTTTCTTCAGTAAAATGAACCATGTTGGAACACAGTGAAGAAGAATGACTGAATAATAATTCGTGAGGTAGTGACAGTGGTCAACTATATACCTTCTTTTTGTTCTGCGACAACTAGATTCAATAAAAACTACCAGTGCAGAAAAAAATAATAGTGTCGTCAATTTCAAAACGTTTACTACTAACTAAATGAATTCTACAAACCTAGAAGACCTGCGACAGAAAATTGTTCCGGACTGTATTATTACATGAAACTAGAAGTAAAAATTCCACATACTGAGAAGATATTATCTAGTTATTCAGTTATGAAGACGGCCTTGAAACTGCTTTCTTCCGAATTTTCCAACGTTAAACATGATTCTTCCATTGTTTCACAAAAACGGATCGACCATGTTGACGCCACTGCATAAAAGTCGACGACAGAACGTACGCGCTTTTGCTATTTTAGTAGCCTGATGATCGAGCAGGGTATGGATTATGGCAGTGATACGTTTAAAAAGTTGGCTTATATGGAAAATAAATTCATCACTATGCGATGTCAGCCGTAAATGAAACTGGTGTAACGACGCTTTCGATTGCAATCAAGGGCGGTGCCTTAAAAAACGGCTGAATTTGTCACGGATATGGCGATGTGATCGTCCAACAGAGAATGCTATTCGAAGCAGGTGGCTATCAATCTTGTTGTTTCTATCTCGGGATGTATGTGCCATCGAACTCCAAGAATTGAAAAGAGAGAACAGGAACTCTTTCATTTGCATTTAGGCTGTTTCTGAATGCGAGTTTTTGCACAAGCATTTTGTTTCATTGTGAAAGAGTAGGAGTTTTGAGGTTGTACCAGTCAACTCCACTCTTTCAGACAATCGGCAACACCGCACAGCCATGATTTGTGAGTTCAACATTGTCAAATATAGAGCTAGCAAATGAAATGCATTTCAGCTCAACTCAATGTTTTCTACGAACTCACAAGAAGTCAGAATCTTGGAGAAAAGAAGAAGAAATAATGTATTGACTAAAATCTTCTTGCTGATCAACGGGATATATAAATATACACCTTGTATTGGTCGTGACTGACCAGTTGAAGAGAGAACTTCGAAACCGCTATGTGATTTCTGTTTGTGAGGTTGCAGTCAATTTTGAGGATGCTAGGGAGTACGAAAAACTCTTTGGTATTACGTCAAACTTTGGGAAATGTTTATTTCCTTCTTCAGAATTTACTAAAAAATTGTAAATACAGTTACAATTTCATAGATGAGACTTCCTACTATTGTGGGTTTGAGAGAAGCTAGTTCCTTCATAACAATCAAAACTTGTTGGTCATCTTATGTAGAACGAAAGTATAAATGTAGATTCAATTCAGATTTCAATCTACATTTAATTGTAGATTGAAATCTCAACTGTACAACAGCATGGTTCAATTTAGAATATGGGAAAAAAACCCAGAATCCAATTTATTGCTTTGTTGCCGACAGCATACTTGTCACGTCATTCCATTTGTATTCCAGGACATAAGCTGCAGAAGCACATCGTCAACGACAACAGGAGATTGCATATCTTAATGAGGATTTAGAGATGATTTCGAATTGGGATGAAAACTACCCGGTTCAATTCATTGTCATAAAAACCCAGGGAACGCCTTCTGCTGCGATAAGTTTATTGGGAGTTAAAATGGACACCAATATGTCTTATAACAATAATGTAGCTGGGATTCCAAAGGCTGCTTCTCGAAGGCTTCAAACACTGTTCCGAACCAGAAAACTGTGTACACACCCCAGCTACTTTTGATCATCAGAAGTTGATTCAAAACACCCGAAGTCAATTTCCTTCATTTCAAAAAGGCGAACTACCACAAACTAACCAACTTCACTTTCGTACACTTATCTTTTTTATCATCAGTCGAATCACCGAGAGACAGTAGAAAAACAAAATAAAAACAAGTCAATTATTTCAGAGGAGAAGATCAAATTGAGTATTCAAACAGGAACTGAGATAAAAATAACTCATGCAAACGTTTCATCACAAAACAATAAAATTAATGCAAAGGTTGACTTCTGAGATTTTAAATGAAAGTAGACATCACAGTTAAATAGCAATTGCAAATCCTCTGTCGCAATATTAAATGCTCATGAATACTACATTGTCATATTCAGGTAACCATGCATATGAATCATGATTCCATGATACGATAATTTTTCATTTATATATCAGGTTATTTATACATAAACTATATAAATGGCTCAATAATGATGAGTTTCAGTCAGATCTCATCTCAGACGGCGCCACAGAACGTGTAAAGTAAACACATGACTGAATTTGACAATAATAATAAGAAATGCTTGCTCAGATCACATGCTTCTCGGACACAGTGATCAGTTACAGCCTGGTGTGAGGAGTAGCCACTAGTTGATAATGCTGGCGCGCCCTTTTTTCTACGTCGCTTTGATGTAGGGGCACCATGTTCCTCTTCTTCATTCAACTGATCTCTACTTTGAATAACTTGGGAGACCTTGGTCGTTTCCAACATTCCATCTGCAGGTGTCCTAGCTTCCTGCAGTTGTAGCAACGCCTTTTTCTGCAGAATCCCAATTCACAGATTATTTGTGTGAGTTTGTTGAGTTTCTTTGGATAAGGTTACACCAGCAACTGCAGACCCTTCAATATACCCGCCAAATTGTTCATGATTTTGGTCAAGTCAAATAATTAATCTGCTCCATACTTCTGCAAGGACTTCTGACGACTGTTGATCTCTGCTTCTGATAACATTCGTCAAATTGGATGAGGTTTAGCACGTTTATAATATTGAAGTTTCTTCAAAGGGGCTTTGAATTACAAAGATACATTGAAATCCATGTTTCTTGCAACTCACGGAAGAGTTTCAAGTTCTCTTGTTTTTTTTGGGGAGGCTGATTTTATAATTTCTTTCTAGATGAACCAGCTCTGTAAGGTGTGCGGGGAGCCAGCGGCGGGCTTTCATTTTGGCGCTTTTACCTGTGAAGGATGCAAGGTAAGCTTCTCTGACAAGGGAGTTCGCAAGAATTCCACGAAAATTTAAATGATTTTGCCAATGATTATTAACGCATTGAAGGATATTTCGATGCATGATTATTCCTATCATATTTATTATATTGAACTACTGTTTTTTCAACTGTGGTCTGCACGTTTTTGCTTGATATTTAACGTCCGACATTTTCAAGTTACTGCAAATTTTTGGACATAGTGATCCACACTTAATTAGTACAAACAGGATGGGACCTAGTACCTAGTAGTCCGTTTTTTATGAATTATCTTACTCCTGACAAGGAAAAAAATATTATTATCGATACCTCTGTTACTTTTGAAGCTGGGATATCAAAATTATTGAAATCTTCTGCAGCAGGATACTCTGGCTTACAGCTCACAAAACATTGCTGCAGATTGACCTTCAGTCATCTTCTCAAACGACAAATTTTATTTTATTCAATGTTTCAAATTGTTCGTCACCCCTCAATCAAATTTATAATTATCCTCCTACATGATTGAGTAAAACATGTGAAAGTTCTTCGAATACACAGAAATGTATCTTGTTCATGTCAATAAATCTCGACTTAATGAATAAAATTCAATCAAAATGTGTGGAATTCCTCGATATAAATTTACTTATAGTTGCCTATAACCGTTCATCACGGAGTCAAATGATTTATGAAAGCGAAAGAAGCGACATGGAGGAAGGAGAAGGAAAAAGTAGATTGTAATCTGATACAGTGGCGCCATCGTTTGGAAATTTTCTATATACAAGAAGTATACAAACAAATGAATTCATAATAATGAGGGATAATTTTTGAAGGACTCGTACAAAAAAATGAAAGATTTTATGTAACACTATTATATGTTTTCTTTCAAAACGAATTATGCCACTGATAGCAAACCAACAAAATATGATCAACATTATGTTTGATGAGCTGATGACAAATATTGACACCTTTACAGTAGATTTGGATTCGTTGAAAACGGTGGGGATTAAATTGAAGTAACGCAGTGTCATAAATGCTATCGCAATATGAAACTTTCGAAATGATTAGCGCCTCACAATTTCAGTTTGAGTTGTTTGGTGAGTAAGTTCCAATTAGGAAGTTGCTTCAAGACATTAAAATATTTTTGGATCAAATGCCTAACGTGTTTAGTAAAGCACAGATCAGAATCAAATCACAGGCCCAAGTTCTTTACCTCAGTTACAAAAGGCAGAACATAACCATTATGTCCAAGGATCATTACTACCGACAATTTGGAGTTTAACTTCAATCTCTGAGCTGATGAAATGTTGAAGATGTTCTATAGATCACGATTGATGAGGTTTTGAGCGGAATCAATGTCAGGGAACTGAAAATAAAAGTACGGTTGAGTATCACCTGCGTAATGATGGATGTTGCATTTTTCTACCGACTGATGGAAGTCACAAATATATAATCTGAATAGTAAAGGACCAAGGATGGATCCTTGAAGAACACCTTCAGTTACGGGCAGAGTCCCGATGAGTAATTTCTAACTAGAGACAACGCATTCACAGTGCTTTCATCAACACTATCATTGCCAAATGAATCATAGAAAATACGAGGTTCTGATTATTCTGTTGTGCAATTCACAATCGATATAACGAATTACGTTATCCAGATATACTCCACCAATCAAATTTGGAAAAGCCCCGTATTTGTATAAAATAGAAATCGTAATAAAAGAGCAATCTCCTTAATTGGTTTACTGAATTATTTCGTGCATTTTGGATTGTAAATCTGTCACAAGCCGGATCAATTTGTTGAAAGGAGCTTTAATGTTTCATCACATTTCTTTACGAGCTATTAACTAAGATTGATAGCAAGTGAAACATCAATCGATTTCTAATTCGACGCTCCATCTAGTTATACTGCTGTTCAGTTTATATGCCATAAAATATAGTCTAAATACGATGACAACTTATCATGGAAAAAAATTAGAAAAGATTACTTATCGAACAGTTACAAAAGTATTAGTTAGTGAATATAAACTGGAGTTCAGTTTTTCTTGTTGGGAAACATAATCAGATGAAATTTGATATGTCTTTCGTGAAGGGGTGCACAAAAAATCATTTAATTTGAGTTCACTGAACATGTTTATAAAAACTAGGCTTTCATAAAGTCATAAAATGGTGAACGGTGTTGATATTTCGGACTGACGCACATTCATTTCAATGAAGAGACAAATCCCAAGCTATTACAAAATGTTGAATAAAAAGTCAGTACTATAAGACGAAGAAAACAAACTATTACTAACAACAGATGGTTGAACCCATCAAATACAATAAAATTTAGCGGCTCCAGCCAATTTCGTTCAAAATATACTACCGGCCAAGGTAGTTTGTCTTGGACCAAATTGATTCATCCTGGGAGACACAAGATATACCATTTTAGTCCACAACAATCTTATTCTCTAAGTGGAAGACACTGAAAAAGCTTAAATCAAGGCCCCTTTTCATCGAAGACGATCAAAAAGGTTAGGGTAATTTAGGTTTGATTTACTTGAATGATGATTCAGAAACAGTTCGGCCTAGACCAAAGGTTGTCCTGGATTAGACTAATACATCCTGACATGCTTAATAGGATTTGTATTAGACAACACATACAACACGAAATCACCATTAGAAAAGTAAAATTCAACTTGTGTCACAACTACATATAATGCTAAAATTTGTTTATTGTTGAAACAATTAGGTTTGTCTTTTTTTGCCAACATATGGAGAATGCCGTATGAGAAAAAAATATTAGTCACGTTAGTATCCAACAGAATGGAAAAGAAACTACTTGAATTCTCCACTTTTATTTTGTATTTACGCTATCTTCTTTGAAAATCATAATCTATGAGTCTTCTCAAAAAACAAGACTGGACTTCTAAAAAATGGGCAAGTTTTCCAAATCAAACCTATGATCTTTTTGTGCAGTTTTCCACACACATGGCTCATTACATTCGGTTTGTTATCCTGTTTGTGTTCAGTTAGTCTTTTCTGAGTATAACGTCCTATTCAGTCTACATAACACATCAATATACTTTGTTTTTTTATAAATCATTTGAAATCATATTAAGAAACATAACCATGTTTTAGATGTATGAAAACCCATTTTTCAACTATGTTGGAGTTTAAAAAAGTAATTTTGATTTCTCATCTAGAGAAACTGACGCGAATTTATCACAGAGATTCTTGAAGTAGGGAATTTTATAGTACTTGAAACCTTTGGTTTTTTTCTATAAGATTTATTATCATTATGAATGTTTCTTACGTGTTTAATGGATCAATAGTTCTGATCCATGAATTTTTTAATCTGACATTAATGAAAGTAGCACTTCAACCATGGTTTTTTACTCATGAAAAGCCCCAGAAAAAATTCTCAAAATTGAATGAGTTGATTCGAATGTTTATATACATGAAAAAATAATTAACATAACACCATATCTGTAAGTTTACACGAGGTATAATAATCAAGTGTGTAATTATCAACATCTAATTGTTGTTATTCCGAATTCATTTGGGAAAACGAATCTGTTTACACGAGAATTGTTACCATAATTAAAACCAGAGGTCTCATGTGTCCATAATCAACTCTGAGAAATATATGTTACAACGTAATTCACATACTCCAAAGGAATTAGTCACTAGTCCAAACCAGTTTCCGAGGTTGGCCGTGGTTCGAAGATTTCATGAATCAAATTTCGTCTATAACTGCGGTAGACCTCATTGAAGTTGTAATGAAAGTACTGCAGCTTTCGATAATGGCTTCCGCAGATGTAGACGAAATTTTGAGAAGAAAAACTGTGCACCACGGCTAACAAATCCGAAAGTTGGTTTTGAAAAACTGGAACAATTATTAGTTTGGCCATTTTTCAGTTCAAAAAATACTATCCGAAGAAGTTCTTGATTGTGTAACACGAGATGGAACCGTTACTGGTTAACGAATCTTTTCCTCAGAAAAATATTTCATACATACGGTATGATAGTTTATACCGGTTTGTAGATAATCTACACGATTGATTTCAGTGTGCTTCTGCTGCTTAAATGTCTGGGTCCTAACATTCGGCAATGCGATTACCTTTACTCCTGTCGTACCCTTTAACCCACTTCAGGATAATGTTATTATCTACCGAGGCTTTGGCTAAATCTTAGTGATACTCTAGTACTAGCCCTGAGGTTATACCTTGTCTGTTTTATGACTTTAGCAACATGCATCTCTCAAGCCAAGACCTTTAGGACAAATGTTTATACGAAGTTTTCTGCTAAAATGGACCGAAAATGATATTACTGAATATTGACATTTTCTTTAGAAACACTCTGTACTTACGAATCAACACAGCTAACATGAAAAACTTAATTAGTAATAGTCATTGATTGGAAACATTATAATTTGATTGAAATATCCAAAATTCATTGTTCGAATATAAGTTAAATCTTCAATCAACAGTTATAGAAACAATAAAGACCGATGAATCGACAGGCGACTCATTTTCTCATCAAATTCCACAATGGAAATAAAAATAGTTTTTGAAAAGATACCGGCGATACAGTTTTTATGAGAAATTAAATAAAATCAAATATTCTTGTGAAATTGATCTAAAACTTTTGAAAAGTGAGTGTATTTTCCGCCAATTCGCCTAATTCCGTTGGAGTATAATGCATTCCATATAACTCACAGCCATGCGGGCTTACTAGATGGAGGTCACGGGTTCAGTGTAGGTGGAGATATTTATGATATATGTTCCTGAAAGATGACAAGTCTAGAAAACGAATTGAAAATAAGTATAAATGAGCAATTTGTCTGCTGACCTGCCAACCCTCCTGTGAACCGAAGTCATTGCAGGAATAAGGATAATGGATGGAAGAAAATTCTTCGGATTTTTCGTGCCACTCATGACTAGTGGAAGATACTATTCCATAGACTGAACTGTCACCAAGTGTGGCCTTTTAGATTTCACATTTTCTTATTGTATTATAGAAACTTATTTACC